CATACACACACACACACACACACACACACACACACGCACACACACACACCGTTTAGAAGCATAGCTATAGCTCCATTAATGTTTCCTTGAAGCTGCCCACATGAACAATTTCGTACTGCTCACACCCTCTCAGCACACATGGTGACGCTGGTGTGCACCACGCATGAACATTGCTCCATTTCTCCATTCAATCATTCGCCTTCCACCCCAGTTTAACCGAGAAACTGCACACCACATCATTCCCACTTCCCTTACAGTTCCTGTAGTGCCACCAAAGTTGCACACTCAGTTGTTGTACAATAGTTTGAAGCATGCATAGAGCTACTGACGTCACATGACTATTGCCGTGTGCATTTGTTTACACAGCCACGTTGGGAGTATTGTTGTGCCAGCACACAAAGCACAACAATGGAGAGCACCAATAAAACCTCGTGTCAACATCAACATTCGTCCAAGTCAGGGGGTGGCAACCCAAAATGTTGAAACGGCCATATTGGACCAAAAAAAAAAAAACAAAAAAAAAAAACGAAAAACAAATGTGTCTGGAGCTGCAACAAATTAAAAGCCTCAGAAAGATGTCAACACACTGGTATCTATGTTCGCTATATTAGCCTAATATCAAAATGACTAAGTTGGCTACAAATACACAATGAGCCTTCCCGTTAAACGTTTTTTTTTTCCCTGCATATGCTCTACAGGCCCAAACTTTTTGACTAAAGCTCTAGTCTTCGATCAACCAGCCTCCCGCGATCGACCCATGACCGCACACGCACGTAAACACACGCACTTATGCACGCATGCCATAATGAGCAACAACCATAACGGCGACTAAGATGAACGAGGCACGGGATGCACTTTTGCAGCGTGTTAAGTTTCGTAGCTGACGTGTAACGTTTTAAAATGCTTCTCTCAGTCCTTCAGATTGCCATTCTTTACCAGTTCCCTTGGTGAATTGGACATGAAACGCCGTTTCTTCTTACAACAGCCACCTGCCTAATAGAAACGTGTGTCGCAGGCTATGACGCAAATCTTCGTTGACAAAAATGTTGAAATGTAATATTTATTCGAAATATTTTTACAACATTGGAAAATGCTAAAGCTAAAGAGCCGCATGCGGCTCCTGAGCCACGTGTTGCCAACCCCTAAACCAAGTGAATTCAAATCTCACTTTGATGAAAAAGACTTTATGAGATACATGCACAAGCTGGACAGCTTGGATATTACCGTCAAGCCGCAGATGTGCTATTTTTTTTTTTTTTCAACGATCGCAACAGCAGTTCGGGAGAATATTCTGGATCTGCAATATTTAGATATCTACAATTATCTGGTTGAATTTCACTCTCTACACTGGTGAGTGCTTGTGATTATACAAAGTCTTAAAAGGTTACAAAGTTGTACACTCCGGATTTGTTATGCCCTTTTATGTGTGGTCAGTATGCCTTCTAAACTAGCAGCTTCACTCGGGTCTTGTACTATCGTTATTATGTTTGCTTGCACCTGCGGATTTGTCAGCCATGGTCGATTATGCCGTAAAAAGCATTTTTTGTGCTGCCACTGTTGGCCAAGTTATTAAATTTAACTGTGTAATATTGAAATAATAAGGACGAATGTTTTTTCGTCATAAACAAAGCAGACTATTCTCTTACCCCAAAATTTTGTGTGGTGGGAGGCCATTTTCACGCAGGTCTAGAACTATTGTTATTAGGTATGTTAGCATCTGCTGTGTCAAGTGCCGGATCACGTCTTTCACCAGCATTTAATCATATCTAACTATACAATCAAGCTATGATACGTCCATATGACTGATTCATTAATTGACTCACCCGATATGAAGTGATTGCTAATCAGGCAATAACTAAGAGAATGCTCACACCTTCTTTTGCCTCCTCTCGTTGTGGTGCCCTGGTGCATTGCAAAAGTGTGGCGTTTGAATTTACTCAACGTAGCACCTCGGTTTCTTTACTACCAATGTGATGTTTACATATGGCGCAATGCATTGTGAGGATGCCTGACGTCAACATCTGGAGCGCTATGTCAGTTTGTCCAAAAGCTGTAAAAAAATAGACAAAATTCAGCAGCAGCCTGTTCAGACAAGAATGCCGTCCACCCTTTGAGAGGAAGGATGGGCTGTTTTGGTCGTGGTGTCCAAAGCCTACCATATGAATCAGGAAGTCCAAATATGGGCATAGTTTAGGAACCACTTTGGCGCGTTTCAGAGGTCAGAGGACTATTTGTGTGTTTTATGAGATAAATGTTTTCCATTATTCATGAGTGGGCAATGTGGTACCATATTCGTACAGATTCCACTGAGACTTAATTAATTATATGTATTACCTTAAGTGCCTGATGTATCAAACAAATTGATATTATAATTTGAAAATTGAATTCAGAGCATTAAGCTCTCGTATCGGACATGTTGTTCATTCAGTATTGATCCGCACTAGTCAAATTATTACAACAGTGGAGGGAAAATAGCATTAAGAGGTTTGTTTAATACAGACCAATACAGCCTAACTTTTTGTGAGTGAGGAATTGATGCCAGATGAGTAACTATAGCACAGATGGGACTCTGCAACAAGCCCTCCCTGGTTACATTGTTGTCCTGGGTGTCTCCAATGACAAATGGCTGTCTTGGATTGAGATAAGTAAGGTGGGGCTTGTATGTGTTTAATGAACCAGAAAATGAAATGATTACTATTGGGCTTCTATTGACTGCACTGCTGGTGACACTCTTGCTTCATCCTGAAGGTTAATTGGACTTGAACCCAAAAAGTCAAAGGGTTAAGCACGGTCAGTGTGACAGCAGGTCCTTCTGGGAACAGCCTTTTCAAATGGCTGCTAATCAGATTTGTCCAGGGGCTTTCCTTATGATAATGCTTTCTTGTGCTTCTCTCTTGCTGCTGAACCACACTGCAATATTGATTCACATACGATAACATTATCCTTGTCAACTGCGGGCGGGCAGTTACAGTTATGTCTTTGTAGTCAAGAAAATAAAGCTGCCCTGCCAGTTCCATTATATTGATATTGAGTGAGCAGTTATTAATGTTTGGACATGCCACACACTTCTTTTTAGTCTCTGTATGAAGAAAATGTATTGTGCTGTTAGTCTTTCATAGCTACCATTAGAACTTACTCAACCATCCATGGCTGAAGTCATGTCAAACAACATGTTTACAAGGTAATTCTGAGTATCCATCTACCCAACTTTAATAGCGTTTATTATCACAAAGTTTGCCACCACCTTGCGTGTATGCTTAATTTCTTATCCCAGCTGACTTCAGGCAAGAGATGGGATCTAGCCTGGACCGACCACAGGACACAAAGAGACACAAAACCATGGATGACACCCATAGATATACAAATTATTTTCAGAAAGTCATTGCACATTCTAAATGTACAACTTACGCATAAAGGATGAAAGTAATGAAGGACTGGATATTGGCGAGACCCCAGTTTCAGCACTGTTGATGTGTCCTTAAGCGAGGCACCAGTCACGGAATCTCGAACTCACCTCGGGAGCACAGCTACACTCCGTTACTCTGACATGTCTCCCTTGCTTTGCTCATGTGTGACCTGGTTCTTTTAGTGTGCATACATTGACTGCAGTGTAAAATTGAATTTCCCCTTGGGGGTGAAACTTCATATCATTAAAAAATAAATAAATGAATAAATAAGCATTACTTTGTATAACTACTACCGGCTATCCTTGTCATAAAAGGGTGTGGTCTGCAAACACATGGCAGTGAACCCAAGTGCAGGGAAGCAGCCAAAGGCAAAGAGCGGCAAAGGTTCAGGGGAATCTGATAGGCAGAGGTTCAGGGGAATCTAATATGCAGAGGTTCAGGGGAATCTGATGGATGGATGGATGGATGGATGGATGGATGGATGGATGGATGGATGGATAAAGAATGGTGACAGGCTCACTACGCAGAACACAGGACTATTAATGAAAGAGTATAAAGGAAGCCAGGTACGAAAAACAAAGAATTTAGAAACGAGGAGCACGAGTGGCTTGAGGGAGCTCACTGGCTGACACGGAGTAAGGCTGACTAGGCCTGGTGGAGACAAAGATATTGCTGAGTAGACAAAGAAGGC